TGCTTCTCACATGTGGCCCGACAGCCCAGTGATGGTACCTCCTGACGTCTGGTTCAACGATCATGCTGAAATAGAAACGAGGTGAACGGGGATCCTTTCCTTCGCCATGATGTGCACATGAGTCTCAGCATGGTGTACACGCATGGGGCGGATGCAGGTAGCTCTTTTGCCAACTTAAGGGTTTTGGACCTTTGGGGTTTAAGGACGCAGATTTTCGGGCCGAGGCTTGCAGACTCCGGACCTTACCACTGCTACAGGTCGCGCCGGCCATGCTTGACGGCTGCGAAGCTGCGAAGATGCGTTTGACATGCAGATACCGTGTCTTGTGCACTGAGACCTCTGTGTTGGCCCGCATGGTGCATAGCGCAGAGGTCCCTTCCCTGAGACTCTGCAAAGAAAGACATGCCTAAGTTTGCCGACCCTTGAAAAAGGAAGACGGATCCGCCTACCGGGCTGCTCTTTCCGTGGCATGTACACCGCTCGGCCGGCTAGGCCATCGCTGGCTGCCGAAGAGGGCCCGGTGCTGCAGACTACTTTCCGACGCATGGGACACTCGCCAATAGCGAGCCTAGGCAGGGCGGCCCGACCTGAAGCGGAACCTTCAGAAGCATAAATGAGGATCGTCTTTGCCCCCTCTCGTCTGCCCAAAGAGCCGCTGGAAGAGCAAAGGCACTGCTATCGCCGGGAGCAGCACTTGTGACAGCCGGATGGAGCCTTAGGTACACATTTCAGCTAAGGCTATGACACTGACACTCTGACGTCACTCAGCCGCCATGGAATACAACAGCGCCCAGAATGTGAGTTTGAACCCCAAATCCTTCGACATGGCTGATTGTGCAGGTTTTCCACACACCTCTGTTTCAAAGCTCGACCGTATCGCACCCTGCCACTAAGGGCTGCAACCGCTGCGGAAGATCAAGCAACAACCTGAAATCCGCAACCAAAACATCCCGCGCTTCTCACCCTTCCACCCGTCCTAAACGTGACCGCCGACAGGAACGACGAATACCAACCACAAGAGGACCCGAAAGTAAGGTTTTGCACTGGCCCACTCAGAGTTTTTAGTATTTGACGGACAGGTGAGGCTTCAATCTAAAACCTTGATGCAAACTGACTCCATAGCCAATTCAGCCAAGGTACCCGACTGGGGCAGTGGAAGTGACATGCCAGGAATGGCACGGTCGAAAACCCCTAACTCTCCAGGAACTTATGTAGGCCAGAACAGGGATCTCCGAAAATAATGTTGGTGTCCTTAGAATGGTAACTTAAGTTCAGTTTTAGGGTTTAGGGTTCAGGGGTTTAGGGTCTAGGGCTTAGGGTTAGAATGGTAACTTGAATTCAGCTCCTTAACAAGAATCCCAGACTCTCTAGAGGATGTCGAACCGCACTGCTGCCTCTTGCTCTTGAGCATCTTGGGCCGAAGTTGCATTCAATGCAGTTAAGCATCCTACCCTGAGGCCCTGGCTTTAAAACCAAACATTCATGCTCCAAGAAACGATGTATTTGGCCGTCTTCAACCAGCACTCTTTCCTGTCGATAGATTGGTTGCAATCGCGAAGCACATCCAAGAACAAGCTGAAGCCCTGTTCGCGTGCACGTCGAAACCTATAAACGCAAGTGCGAAGCAACAGTCGTAGTTGGCTTTTTTCCATGTGCAAACTCTCCGCTTCTACACACACACACACACATGCGCTAAGACTCGAGAAATTCCACGATGGCAGCATGGGCAATACCATAGCCATAGACCAGCATGCATAGCATTGAACCTTAAAGGGACCCCAAACCCCGTAGTACCCTTGTAGACACCCTAGAGTACCCTAAACCCTAAATCCTAAACCTTAAACCCTAAATCCTAAACCCTAAACCCTAAACCCTAAACCTAAACCCTAAACGCTAAACCCCAGGAGTCTCACTCTCGGGGCACCCCAAGTTCAGCGGATCACGGTTGTGTCATACTATAAACAAGAATATACAGAGGCCTCGGGGCATATAGGGTTTAGGGTTTAGGGCTTAGGGTTTAGGGTTTAGGGTTTAGGGCTTCGGGTTTAGGGTGTAGCGGCATTCATTTTGTACCTCGACCTCGAAAACTCGAGGGAAAATTGCCATTTCCACCCCTTCTTGAAGCGCCCACACATGCACGTCAACAGGCGTGAGATGGCGTCAGGGCTTTGGAAGGAAAAACAAAAACCTCAGGGAGCCCTCTGACAAAGCGTAAAAATCAGACACAGGGAGACAGAAAAACGAGAGCGAGAGCAACCCTAAACTCCAAACCCTGAACCCTAATCCGCACCTGGTCCTGTCACGAGTCCGATTCAGAAGGGAAGGCAGGTTCAGGGTGCAGGGCTTCGAGCAACTGGGTTCAAGGGTTGGCGCTTAGGTTCTGGAGGTCTAACGTTTAGGATCTATATAGGGTTTAAGGGTTCAGGGTTTCAGGGTTTCGGGTTTAGGGTTAAGGGTTTCAGGGTTTAAGGCTTAAGGGTTTAGGGTGTAGGGTTTAGGGCTTAGGGTTTAGGTTTAGGCTGTACTGTATGGTCCCCATAAACAGAGAGGCCAACATACGCCCAACCGGGGAGTGCAGAGTGGGGCATCTTTTCGCCTCCTCGCAGAGAGCCTAAACCACCCAGAGACTCCAAAACCCCGTAACTAAGGAATATACCTGGGATTATAATAAGAACCCTATAATAAGCTTTAAGGTATATTCCTTAATTAAGGGGCTTCGGAGTCTCTGGGCATGCCGCCGGTTCGCATCCCCCGCGCTTCAGAGCCGGAGTGCTTCGACCTGGGAACTTCAGGAGCCCCGGAGTGGTGGGCTTAAGGCAACAAAGGGTTTAGGGTTTAGGGTTTTAGGGGTTCAGAGGTTTGGGGTTTAGGGTTTAGGGTTTAGGGGCGGCTTAAGGGTTCTATGGGGGCTTGGTGTTGAGAACTCTTTGCTCGAGGTTTTGATGGTAGGGTTGGGGGGGAGGGGGCTTTGGGGATGTGGGAATGACAGGCTTTTTGATTTGAAAGCGCTGGGCTCTTTCTCAGGGACTAAAACCTTTGGGTGCAGGTTTTGAGGGTTTGGCTTTGGGGGAGCACCATGGCCGCCCTTCAAACCCTACACGCTAAAGCCCGAAATCTATTCTAGGCAAGCCTTCCAGGAATCCTTGAAGGAACCCGCAGAGCGAAGGAACCCGTAAAGGACGACACGAGTTTGCAATGGCCTACACCGTGCGGCCTGAACTGCCCCTTTCAAACTAGATCAACTGTAAACGACAAGGCCTACCAAGAAAAAAAAGGAAACCCAACCACAAATCAGTTAACTCTGCCATTGAACATGTGATTAACAGGGATGGCGATGGTGGTGATGGTGTTGCCGACGATGCTGGCGGCGGTGAAGGTGAGTGTAAAGGAGGGGTTGATGTTCATGGGTGTGGCGGCAATGCCGATGATTATGATGATCGATCGTACCCTAAACCCTAAACCCTAAACCCTAAACCCCATCTAGTCACTTCTTGTACCTATCATCATCGACGACTGAACCCCTAGGCCGAGCCACTGTCCGAGTGCGCCGACAGCATCCCGCCAGACGGCTCGAAGACACCGGCATCGCGGGTGGCCTGAAAGAAAGGCAAAGCACGAAGAGGCTTGAACAGCTTAGGGCCTAGGGCCTAGGGCGTAGGGTTGACAGTTCTAGGATTTCGGATTCAGGACACTTTGAGGCATCGGATCGTGAGCACTTTGGGGCACGGGGTCTCGCGAACAGCCAGAAGTTGCCAAGCAGACCTCACGGGGGAAACCCCCCTTGTCGTGGCCTCTTCCTGCCGACCCTCAATGAAGACTCAAGGAAAACTTGAGGGGAGCCATGGAGGACTGACTGTACCTTCAGCAGTTTCCCTTGCCTTTTCCAGCATGAGTGGCGGACAAAATGAAAGCTGCTGAATCATAGGCTGGCTGCCATGTTGCTTGTCCCACCTAGACTGGCTTTTCCTTCGGCCCTCCTGTGTCCATCTCTCCAGGCAGCAGTAGCGAATTCGGGGTTGAATTCGTTGCTTGGGTTCTTGGCTCAGGGCCTTCAGGGCTGCGGGCTTCGGGTTCGAAACCGCTTCTTATCGGATCGTGCGCAGCTGAAAAAAGACATGTCAAGAGGAGCATGTACCGCACCACCATCCTGCAGCAAGGTGAAGTGTCTACTGGGCCCCACAGCCTTAACTCGCATCATGTTAGCCATCGCCCTAAAACCCTAAACCCTAAACCCTAAACGCCCCAGCCCCTTCGACAAAAGACGAGTCCGCATATACCGGCTCCAGACTCCCTGCATTGTTAAATCATCTCCCAGGCCCGACGTCCCCTAAAAAAAGTCCTGAAGGTTGTGTTAGGGTTTAGGGTTTAGGATTTAGGGTTTAGGGTTTAGGGGGGGCTGTGCAGAGACCACCTACAAGGCCTTCCGGCAGATCCTTGGGTTAGGCTGGAGCATTTGGGGGGGGATCCCTTTCATGCACTGTGACTGCTTCATGGGGAGCTCCGCAGGCATCAGGCAGGGCATGATGAATGACACTTAGCCTAGGCCCTAAACCCTAAAGCCCAAACCGAACGCGAACGCATGGAACATGCCGGCACATACGGCCTGCGCAGCTCCCTGGAGCGACGCCAACGCCCCAGGAGGCGTCCAAAGCTGCCGTTGCCACGAAGAGCCTCACCAGGGAGCGTTTCAGGTACTTGTGGGGGGTTTGGGAGAACCTGCCCAGTGGGGACTGCCATGGCAGTACCAACAAGAAGCTCACAGATCCGGACCTCTTTGCCTCAGGTCTTTCTAAGGCATTCGCCGGAAAATCTGTCGCCGCAAGCGGCCCAACTACCAGCCAAGGTGCTTAGAGAATGATGAAGCCAAAACCGCCAGGCTTCAGCTGACACCAAGGTGCTTCTGAAAAAGCCGACGTGACGCACAGCAGCCTGTTAAACCGGCGACCCTCATTTTGGGGGGTTTACCGGTCGCGCACCGTCAGGCGCTCCGCTTCGGGAGTTTACCGCGTGCTGACTGCAACAACTAGGCCCCTTGAGCCCATGTCCGACTCATCTGACTCAGAGGAGTCGGAAGAGTCGGACAAACCGAGACGATGATCCGGAGTTCTTTCCTTGGGCATGGTGGGTCGGTAGCGTCTTTCAAGCTTCAGTTCCTGAGAGTGTACCTTCTTCTTTGCCATGGCACGAGGTACCATGTAGTGGTACCATGGGTACACGACAGCGATCGACAATACGAAACTCACAATCGCACCGAACATGTGTGCATCATTATGTCTTTCATTAAAGTGGCTTTCCAACGAGGTGTTTTTGAACAGGATGCCGAGAGCCCTCTTGTCCAGCATGGTCTCAAAAGCCGTGTCAAAGGCCTTCTCCCAACAAATGCCCATGAGCATGCCAAAAGCCGTCACCGCTTTCCGCACGCTCTTGGCCACGTTCTTCGACTCCGACTCTTCGCTCCCGCTCTCTGCGTCCCGCTCCGCATCTTCTTCGGGCACAAAGAAACGAATCTTGTTCTTGATCCAATCTGCCAGCTTGACGCCGGCAAACACGCCGATCAGCGCAATTGCTGACATGAACCAGGCGTTCGCCATCTGTGTGCGGTGGGCGGCTTGGTGCGGCTGCATGGTTTCAGTTGGACATGCAAGTTTTTCCTCCTTGCATTTAAAATGCAAGTACCAATTCATCCGGTCCTCTATGCCGCCATAGAGGCCGATGACTCCGGCACGCTGCGCGCACCACGCGGCCGTGGCTGGCAAAGTTTGGCGGATGCATTTCGGCCAGAAGCCGCAGCCATCCGGACCCTCCGGACCCTGGCGGGTTTTCGGCTGAGTTCAGGTCATTCCGGTGAGCTTAGGCACCCCAGGACCGATTTAGGGTTCAGAGCGTAGGGTTGGGGACTTGTGTCTATGTGTTGGGAATCTCGTTTCGAACTCATTGGTTTAGGATTGAGGGTGCGGAGACTCGCGGGGCCTCCTCTTTCGCTGCTCGCTGCGCTCGGAGGGAGCACAAGATGGAGGCCACCATCCTGAGGTTTGGGCTCAAAGAAAAGGATGTTGAGTGAGTGAGCGGACGAGAGGGAGAGGGAGGGAGAGAGAGAGAGAGAGAGAGAGAGAGAGAGAGCGAGCAAGCGAGCGAGGCATCGAGGCGAATAACAACATCATGCAACGAATGAACCGCTGCAGTTAACGAAGGACTGTGGCGTTGCAAGCCCAAGCATCAGTCCACAGGCAACCAGGGCAAGAAGGACGAGCCACCCAACGCACCAATCGATGTGATTCCCAAACTCACCATGCGTGATGGGCATGAATCGCCGTGCCTCGCATTCCATGCTGGGTTCCTTATCACACTCAGGATCTCCCGAGCCGTAGCACGGGTCACATTCGGTGCTCATGTGGTAGCACACAGCCTGCACCAGCAGGAAGGACACGGTGATGGCACTTGCATCCGTTAAGGCGTCCTCGGCTTGATGGGCTTGCATGTGCTTGTGATCCTGGCTCGCCAGGCAGCGGATGAGCTTCATGACCAGGTCAAAGAAGACGAAGGCAAGCAGAGGCAGAAGCCAAACCCAGATTGAAAGGGGGATGCCAGGCAGCCAGCCTTCGAAGTGGACCTTTGCCTTCGCCTCCTGCAGATGGCCAAAATACAAGACAGCCAGGAAAGCACAAATGTGGCCACCCAGGGTGCTCCAGGCGAACAACTTTTGATGCTGATCTTCATCGATGGACTGAAGTCGGTAGTAGAGGATCAGGGGCGCCAAACACGTGAACAAAAAAACCAGGCTCAGAAACCACCAGCTGTCATCTGGAGCTTCCGGTTGCTTCTCTGAGAGAACCAACATAGCCAACCTGTTGGTTTCCGAGAGTTAGGGACCCCAATATAGCACCCTAAATAGTAGGATCCTCATTATAAGGACCCCAACATAAGGTACCCCTTGTTTTCGAAAACTCCCACCTGCTGACATAGTTGATGAACCGATACCCGCCAAAGTCGATGCCAGCGGCGCAGAAGGTCGAGATGGTCGTGTTCACCATGGCCCAGGCCTCTTTGGGACTTATTGCTTTTTCAGGTGGCTTCGGGCTTGATTGGTTTGGGGGTTTTGTTTACCAGGCCCAGCCTCCTTCCTGATATCTTTGTTGCTCCAACGGAGCAGGCCGGCTAAGAAGCCGGAGAGCACCACGGAGCCGATCAAGAGCGAGGCGCAGGTCCACGTCACGTCGTCCAACGGACCTTCGTCTTTTGACTCCGCCTTTTCCGCCTGTTGACCCGAGGCCATCACGGCCAAGGCCAGCAGGAGGGTTCGCGCCATGGCTGGCTGGGGGGTGCGGTAAGGCACGAAGGCCGGATGCCTATCTCTGGCCTACATGTGGCCGCGGAAGTGCGAAAGCAGGACTGACACGAAAGCTACGATGCGCATGTGAATATGTTTGCGTGTGTATATGAAGCATATGGCAACTGAGAGAAAGAGGGGTGTAGGGTAGGGTCTTCGGGTTCAGGGCTTGGGGCCACTCTTCTTCATGAACCGACGGAAAGGAGAAAGGAAACTCCTGCCATCCATTCCAGAAGTTAGTCAACAGCTGACGTGTATGAGGACATGCTGAGACTGAGAGGTCAAACTAAACCGCTCTTGAACCCCAAAACAAAGCCCGAACCATACAGCTAAACTGAGTCCACAAAGGCAGAACTTGACCCTCTCCCGCCTTTGGCCGCAGCGTCTGAAGGCCGTCATCGGGGCCGCGCTTTGGGAAACTCTGGGTTGTGCACTCTTTTTGATTTAAGTTCCTAAGCTTTTCCGATGGATTTCAGGGTGCAGGACAGTGCCCTTTCGGATCTTGTCCAAAGAGGTGCGCATTTCGGAGCGCCGTATTCCATCCTCAGTCCTGCAAGCAGCACCCTAAACTGAGTGAGATTGCGGCCCGCTAACGGGACCTGATGCCAAAGCTGGCTGGTGAGGATTGCTAGACATAGACATGTACAAATACATGTACAGATACATGTACATATACATACACAAACACATAGACATAACACACATACATAAGCATATACATCTACAGATACAGATACAAATACATATACAGGAGTACACGTACTTGCAGTGTTCCAGGTGCAAGCACGGTGCATGTCTGGCAAAAAAATCTCACCAAAAAACGCGCCGCTCCTCGTTGAGCCTGTGGTCCTCCAGGTCCGGCTCTTCCTCTTGGACTCTTCCAAAGACTAAGAGATCTTAGTCTTTCGTTTAGGGTTTAGGGTTTAGGGCTTAGGATTTAGGGTTTTGGGGTTTAGGGTGGAGCATTCTTTGCGTTTGTGGCGTGGGGTCTTGTTATGGCTTTGGGAAGTTTTTCATCGGGATGGACAAACAGTAAATCGGTGTCTGAAGCAGCGTTTGCTTCGGAAGGGGGGGAAGCAGGCGTGGGTGTACACAGACCGCAGCGCATCCCAGAGCGGTGCAACTTGCATCTTCACTCCCAGAACCAAACGCAAGCTGTCACACGAGGCTGCAAGCGAAATGCCGAAGTGCTCATCGGCCAGTTCTGGGCAGATGTCGGGGCCACGACCCCAGGCCCAGAGGAGCTTGCATCGCTAGAACCGTAATGATGTAGAGACGCAAAGGTCCACAAAATGCCGCAATCAGACATCCAAACAGCCATCGCGTTGATCTGGCCGCTGGCCCATAAACCTCCAAATCCTGGACTGTTCCCGAGGCCCAAGGCCGCCCCAGGCCTTGCACGTCGTACTCGGCATTGTTCTCGGAGTGCTACATGTAGTCGGCCTCGTCGTTGAAAGCCACGCTTGGCAATGAGAGGGAAGGGCTCAAGGCTCCGGCGAAGGGCTGCCGCAAGGGCCCATCCACAACAACCTCAAGACTCGTCGTTGAAGCCAGCAAAGCACAGCTGGGCTCCTGTTGGGTGCCAGGAAGCCTTGTCCGCCCGGCTCCAGGGCGTGCTGCCACTCGACCTCCACTCAGAAACCCACCTGGGCTTTGCCTCTGAGCCTCCTTGCCTCGCATCCTGAGGCGGCTGCGCGCACTTCACGATCATCGATGGCATAAACACCTGGGCAAAGACCTCAGGAACAAAAGCGGAAGCGGGACTCGAGGGCCTCCCAGACTAGGCACGCCAAGCCGCGGTTCACAGAGTGTTGGGCGGCCACCTCAACAGCGCAACTTGTCACAGCAGCAACTCTGCCAGCACTTTGCGCAAAAAGGGAATTTCAGCTCTGCGCATCCTTGTGATGCCGCAGATAGTACGCCACGTGCTGATCCAACAAGTCCTGCCAAAGAATCAGCACGCGGAAGATCATGCTGGCACAGATTTAGGCATTCGAATCAGGCAGCTATCTCAAACAGCTGTTCCCGACTTTTCCAGACTCCTCCGGGTCAGCATCGTACGCCGCCGACCTCCTGGAACAAGTCAAGGAATTGCAAGCACAGGCATCTAGGCATCTAAGCACCCCCACAGAAGAAACTAAGAACCCCTAAACCCAAAACCCTAAACCCTAAGACCCCTAAACCCTAAACCCGAAGATCCCCTAAGTAGACTCCCCGACGATCGACTGCTCAAGAGAACCGGGACCGCTCTGATCCGATCGGCCTCAGGTTGCCGGAACTCGTCAGCCTCAGGAAGGAGTTCATGTGCTCACGATCTAGGGTTTAGGGTTTAGGATCTAGGGTTTAGGGTTTAGGGTTTAGGATCTAGGGTTTGGGGTATGGGGTTTAGGATCTAGGGCTTAGGGTTTAGGGTTTAGGGTTTAGGGTTGAGTGCACCATCTATCTACTCCCTAACCCCCCCCCCAAACCAGCGTGCTGCACACGTGCCTGGCGTGCTTCGGAGACTGGCTGCTCGAAGCCGTTTGCCTCTCGGGATGTTCGGTGCTGTTCCGAGCCTCCGTGGCCGTAAAACCGGGTGGGTGCGCCCAACGAAGCACAGTCATGGCACCGCCTTACCGCTTCTGATAGCCCTCTACTCAGGATGCGGATCGCTTATGTGATTTAGGTCGTTTAAGGAAGTCTGGCGGCGATTTACGAACGAACTATAGGCAATTTGTTGAGTACTGGCACTGGGCTGCAAGGAACGATCAAACGCTTTCAACGCCCAGCCAACTTGATTCAACAAACCTTACTACCAAACCCGCCAGAAAACGAAACCCTGTAAACCCGCTACATCCTCAACGCCCTGACGTTGGCCTGATCTCCTCAGGCTGCGTCTTTGGGCTGCTTGATGGCCTCGATAGCCACGAGAAGGACGGGAATCTTGATATGACTCGTTTGCTACTAGCACAGCCATGCACGCAAGTCATCACGCTTTGGCTTCTTCCCATCCGAACCAAGATATGTTTAAATATTTCTCAGACAGCACTAAATACAGAGCCCTTGGTCCACGGGTGATCCGCCTCCGCTAGTGCTAGGCTGGAGGGACTTCGGCCGTGCCACAGTTTACAAACAGGGTATACACTGAGTATATACTCAACCTATACATCTACGCAAAGATCTATATCTACGTGCGTGTGTTCGTGAAGCTTCATTCACAACTCTTCCAACTGGCCCCTCAGACCGTCCACTGAAATCCCGAGCGAGATCTCCAAGCAGTCTGGGAGGAGGACCGCACGGGCGCATCTTCCGGCCACGGGTAGGCTGCCTGCCTGCAAAACATCAAAGTGGTTTAGCATTGGAGTACGAATCAGCTTAACAAACAACGTGCATGCAGATCTTGCTGCATTCTTGCTGCATATGTGCATACATACAAACAGGTACAGTACACCCATTGTGTCTCTCATATATACCTATATATATATGCTTTATGCAGAGTGTACTGTGCAATACGTAAGATGTACTATGTGCCATCTATTATGTAATGTACTGTAGTATTATGTGTTGTGCGCCATGCGCTACCATGTACTATGTATTTTGTGACATGTATGATGTATGATGTGATATGTAGAACTGTGCATTACAGATTATGCATAAGATACGATGTACATTACATACACATGTAACCCAACATGTATAGGAGTGATGTGAATACACCTTGCTAGGTGCATACGACAAGAAACGGAACACATAAGAGCACAGATCTCACAGACAGCTACACTACGCATTCTCCCTGGACATCTCGTGTTCAGAACCCTGCTCTTCGGATGCGCGCCTCTGTTCACCTCCCTCCGCTTCGGCCGTCGGCTTCGACGCCACGGAGGGAGCCTCGGCCGGATTTCACTGCGCTCGGCTCGTGCCAGCTGCAAGTACTGGCGAGAGGCATCGGTCATTCCGGCGGAAGACTTTCTAAGAATATCTCCGTGCAAAAATCGCCAAAAAATCGTAAACCGGCCGATGCCCCAAAAACGGGGGACGGCGAGCATGTCTGGAGACCGACGCGCTCAGACGCGGGCTCGCTGCGCACGGATGCTCATGTCCTCCGGGTAAAGGACGACACTCACATCCTTAGCAGAGAGGTGCCCACACAAAAAAAAAAATGGACACGAGACCCTCTCGTAGAAAAAACTCGGAAGAAAAGCGGGTGAGCCTCGTGGCCTGGCTCCGGCTCTGGGTCGGGACTCTGTCCTGGTTTTTTTTCCACTTGGGGGATGACAAAAGGCGCCTTGCTTAGGCTTAGGGTTTAGGGTTTAGGGTTTAGGGTTTCGGTTTGGGGTTTAGGGTTTAGGCTTAGGGATCCGCAGGGTTTCGGCTTGCCCCTTAGCCCTTCTTGCTCTCTCAGCAAAGCCATGATAACAGAGGCCCTGCAAGACATCTTCTGTCCTGTGAGGGGACGTCGTGCGAAGTTCAGAAGCTTGCAAGACTCCAATCCGTCTTTAAAGCTCTTTGGTTGGTTAGCTCCGCACGTGTAAACAAAGACGACAAAGAAGCTGAAGCTCTTTAAACTCAAGCGAGACAACTGCAGGAGTAACCTGTCTGTGTTTTCCTGTTCTGTGCGACCGTACGATCAAACTGGCTCACCTTTCATGTCAGCTTCGTCTACATGCGACTACACTGACTGTCCCCATGTCTGCTATGATTAGGTGCGTGCCGTAGTTCTGCTAAGGGGCAATGATCTGCCAGCCGAGTCTACCACTACAAACAACACCGCAGCTAGCCTACGGCTCATCTATTCCAGAAGTTCATCTTTTTTGAGCATTAACTCGAAGCCGCTCGATCCAAGCTTCGCCCGGTGTGGCTTCGTTCCTATGCTGCTATCATATGTATCTAAGAGCACACACACACATCATTATGGGGATAGCTTGCGTTCATTCCTTTAGTTTGTCGGTGTCGTGAAACCAACATGACAAGCCACTGTGGGTGGCAGAAGGACACAGTATCTTATTGCAGTACGAGGTGTTCGAAGACCCTGAAGGACCTCAAGTGACCAGCCGGGATAGTGACAACTTAGGGTTTTGCAGCAGCTGAAACCTGTCATCCAATCCACCGAAACGCCTCCACCACACCGAAGATACGTCTTATCCAAAGAGATGAAGACAGCTTGTGGAGAACTCTGGCAGAAAAAACAAGAGATTGTTGGAAAACGTATACAGACAAAAACACTAGATAACTATATCATAAACCTGACAAAAACAAGCGATGTCGCCAGTTCTAAATGATGTAAGACGGCTAAGACTACGGAGAACAGAACAGAGACAAAGCACCGAACGCACTTTCAAGTTACACGGATGAGCAATGTGAGAAGAACAAGGGGGACAGCTCCAGGCCAGCCAAGGCCTGCTGCTAGCTTTCTTGGTGAGGCAACCATGCCAGGTTCTCTTTTTGAACCAACCCCCCAACCCCCCAACCCCCAACCAGGGGCAGAATCACAACTTGTGCTTCCAGCCCTTTCCCGCTTTTCTGCTATGTCATCGAGTTAGACCCAAGCATCACGAATCTTGAACAAGACCCTGCACCAAGCGACCTTTCAGTCGGGCGGGCGCGAGAGGGTCCGACCACATGCCGTTGAGGATCTCCAGCTCGAAGCCCGGGAAGGCATTATATCACATACTAGTACTACGGTTGATGATATAAATCCTGCATTACCTTAAGGACCCTAAACTACAGGAATTATGGTAAATTCCTTTCTATGGGTAATGCAGGATTTCTATCATCAATCACTATACTACCCACTGCAAACCCTTGCACCACGTCCCGAAATCGAAATCATTTTGGTGGTCATCGCCGGTCCTCCCGCTCCTACTCCGGCTCCCGCTCCAGCTTCCTGGGTCCTTCCAGCAGGATCACCAATCCACAGCTTCAGAACCAGGACCCTCCAAGTACCTTCAAATAGGGGCATATAGTCCCTAATTAAGGGCATTTAGGCTCTTTAGAGGGTAGATGGAGGGTCTAGGAAGCATCACGCCCTTGCCCAAGACAGCCCGCGACCCCTCGAATCACTCCTCGGCTGCTGCGCAGCGCCACGGCGGTCCGGGCGGCGTCGCTCAGGACTACACCTTCTCAGTATAGGGCTTATAGGGCTTGTAGGGTTTATAGGGTTTAGGGTTTTAGGGTTTAGGGTTTAGGGCCTATAGGGTTTATAGGGAGCCAGGAGTTCCAGCTCTCTGCACTTTTAGGGCTCCTTTTCGGTGCATGAGTTCCTGGAGATTTCTTCCGTGGCTCGCTTCGCTCTGAGACCGTGCCTATGCTCGCGAAGCACTCATGGTTCGTGACGGAACCGTGTGCAGTGTTGAATTTCTTCTCCCAAAGTCGGAGGAACAGCCTGGTTTCGAGCACGTTGGTGCAGTCACCTGCCACGAGCGAGGCAGCAGCATGGAATGGCCACGATTGCTACTTTCATTGCAGGTCCAAACGACGACGACGACGACGACGATGACCATTGCTGCTGCCGCAAAGAGACTGCAACAAGGGCAAAACGCCTACTGGTACAAATGTCATGCAAGTCTGCTGTTACATCGCATGGCCTACGCGATGCGCTGCTCGTGAGAGCTCCCATGAAATTCAGCGGGCAAGGGCACACCGGGATCCGATGCGGACTTAAGTGACTTAAAGCCTTAAAGTTGTGCATAGCTGCAGAACTCCTCTGGGCCAGTGGGCCGTTGTTCCCAACAGCTGTCAGCACGTTACAACATGGAAGGGCCGAGGATCATCCCCGAACCCCAGCTTTGAAGGCCGCTTCTGCGCCTCCGGGTGCGAAGTTTGAGATAAAGTCGCTGAAGCTGTGCGACAGCGAGCGGAAACTGGAGACACCTGAAGCGAGTCTCGGCAAGCGGGCTTGCAAGAGTTGCGGGCCCGTGTCGCAAACGAAGCTGTGCACTCTGACAGGCATTGCGAACCCACTGAAAAGCTCTGGACTGCATCGGAAAGCTCTGGGAAAGTCTGGGCTGCCTCCCGCTGCAGTCTGACTGGACCTCAGACGAGTCTCGGCACTGCAGACGCAAAGTGGTCAGAAGAGTCTTCGAGCCCGGCTCACCGCATTTTTCTCCCGCCTTCTGAGTACAAGGTCGCGGTGAATAGCCCCAATCATCCTCGATCTTGATCAGGCAGAAAGATTTCGGGTGACCCGCTCAGGCGCACAGATTACCCGGGCTGCCACTAGCAGTCACTAGCTCTCTTTCACGCGTCTTTGCCTGAGCAGGGCCTTGTCTTTTTTTACAAGGGGAGTCACACCCTGCAAACTGTGCACTTCGGCAAGGCGTGACACCGCGAAGAGGAGAGGCTCCTGACATCGGGGGGCTCAGGTCTCGACCAAGGGTCGGGAACTGATGTGACACTTCGACACACTACTGGACTACGCGGGCAGTCGCAGCGTTTCTGGGGCTTCACAGCGCGCACTGAGGCACAGAGGCGTACGGTGTCGGGCCTCAATTCGGAGCCTATTCTTTGGCGTCTTCCTGAAGCAAGGTTGCCGGGACCACTTCGCTGTTCTACGACCCAATACTTCCACTTCCGTTAGGAGCAAGGCATACCAACACAGGACGCACTCAGCGGGCGCTGCACCTGTTGGCCTCTCACTCATCGTCGCCTTCCTGCGAAGTCACGAAAGCACTTGAGCCATGCACGTCACGGAGGCTGGCGCGGATGCCCTACACCCACCTCAGCCTCCTCGGCAAGCTCTTCATCGTCGGCTTGAGCGGCCATGCGCCCTCCACCACTCTGCTTGTGGTTGATGACCGCCTTTCGACTGCGAGAGGTTCGGCTCAAAGGACCTAAGGAGGCCCTTCTTGAGTTCAGGGTCCCTCCTTGCAGCCCTCGGAGACTGCGTGCCGGGAGAGCTCACCGGGGAACACCAGACGCACGGCCGACTGGATGTCACCTCTTGCCCCGGCTTGGGTCCAGCCAGCTAAAACCTCACTGTCTAAGATAATTTATAATATAATATATTATATATTATTATTATATAATACGATATATAGTATAATATATAATATAATCACAAGCCGGCCAAAGCCCAAAGGAGCCAGGCGGCGGGTGTTGATGGAGTGCGAGCCGCTGCGCCGGCAAAGCCTGTTCGCCTTGAAAACACTACGCGCATCTTGGAGCTTAGCACATGGCCTAATCTGCGAAAGCTCACACAGCCATGGTAGTTCATGCCTCGCAAAGACAGACTGTGTCCGGAGCAGAACAGCACTGCACAACACAGCCCTCCATTCTAGGGGAGTCACTGGATTGCTGTAATACAAAACAATCCAATGACATGGTACGACATGATCGACCATCGTGGAGGTGAACGCCCTTAGCTCTAATGCAGCCTTCTGCCAAAACACACACGGCGCATTATGCTGCAATCCCGTGCAGTGCCATGTGCACAAAGGGCCCCGCTCTGATACAACATCGGACAATTCGCATCAAGGCAACACAGCGATTTCATGCCCACCTGCTGAATGAAACGCAATGCAATGACATGGCCTGCAATAGTACCCTGTGCAATGCGACAGTCAGCATGCTACAGTGTGGCCAGCGTAGCTTGACGATGGATAGCCCCTGCCTGCATGGAAATGCGGTCAAAGGTATCTTCCACGCACGAGACCATCACCGTCATGGCCTCTGTCGAAAGGACAGACAACGAAAAGCTCTGAGAGGTGCTGACTGATTGATAACATAACTACGAATATGACAGTGTCTGTATGTGTATATTATATGATTAGTCACGAAGCTGCCTAATTTCCTGCAGCTATACCTGGTGTCTAATGATCTGTTCTACTCAATAGTGCTAATCCTAGAGAACCTCCAAAACCACAATTTAGGATAAACATAGGAAAATATACGACTTCCAGGTTTGCAGTGAGTACGAAAATAGGGAAAATAGGAACAATAGGAGAAACATTGGCATGAAATACAGAAAAAATACGAAAAAATAAGAATAAAATAGGCAAAACAATGAGATAAATAGGGATAAGATAGGTGGAAAGTAGGAATGAAATAGGGAAAGCAGGAAATGTAGGGCCGGGGTTCCTACTTTTTCTCCTATGTTTCTCCTATTTTATTTCTATGTCCGAAAAACCCAGGTTTCCTACGTTTTCCCTATTTGTTGTCCTATTTTGGGCCATGTGCGATCTGACTAGAGTTAGCTCAAGAGTCGGACATAAGTCTATCAAGCACATGACCGTAATTGAATTCCGACACTTTTTCCAAACCGGCCTTTGAAGGGGCGAATTTAAAAAAGAGAGACCCCGCCCGGGCCTGCTTGGAAATTCGCAGCGTGGGGTGGACCTGGCACGCAGGCGCACGTGGAGCGGGTCACGTCTTGGGAAAACCCCGGATCCGCAGCCATCCCATCCACTCCGCGCCTGCCGAAGTACCTTCATGATGTAGAAGCCCCAATTGACAGACTTCGTCTTGGACTTCACCTGGAGCTGACAAGTCGGGGTGCCATCAGAATGGAATTTAGGGCACCTGCTGCTTGCAGCAACGCTTCGCATGCTGTGGGCGCCTTCTTCTTCACGGGCTTCGGCTGGCTCTCGCCCTCTTCGGGCACCGGAGGCATCTTCGTGCTCTTGGACTCGCGGCAGAGGGAACGTGTTGCTTGCGGCTGCGCTCTCAAACCCGCTTCAACTTCTTCACGATGCTGCTGCTCGTCTTGCTTGTCCCATGGCTAGTACGACTCCGACTCAACGCCGTTCAGGCCAACACCGGTTGTGCACTTGTAGTATCGTGGCATGACCGACATCATGACTATCATGAGTACTACAATATGTCCTTCGTGTGCTGACAGTCTTGGTTGTGATGGTGGTGATGATGATGGTGGTGGTGATGATGATGATAGGGCTGCTGAAGGACTGCCTGCCCAAGTACTATGCAAAGCTCCGCAATGCAGAGTGACATGACCTGAGTACGTGGTAAAAGCTGCACATCTACTTGCCACCATGCTCATAACATTATAGTAGCAGTGGTGGTAGTAGTAGTAGTAGTAGTAGTTGTTGTTGTTGTTGCAGTAGTAGTAGTAGTAGTAG